TAATATTGTTTCATTTCTGGAGATCCTTTTATCTCTCTCTGTGTCAGCTTCTCTGCGTTCCTGTTCTCTGGTTTCTGTTCCACTCACGGCCTCTTGCACCTCGTCCAGTCTGCTCTGAAGTCCTTCCAGAGATCGTTTCATTTCTGTCATCTCCCTCCGTACTTGCTCCTTTAGCTCTTGCGTATTTCTCTGCAGATCCATCAGCATGGTTATGACCTTTATTTTGAATTCTTTTTCGGGTAGATTGGTTAAGTCTATCTCTCCAGGCCCTCTCTCAGGGGTTGTCTGGGTAATTTTGGACTGGACCAAATTCTTCTGCCTTTTCATGGTGACAGAGGTGGCTGTAGGCAGGTAGCACATGTGACAGCTGGGAGAAGAGAGTCCCTTCCTCCTTGCTGGTCCCCTTGCCCTTCTCCGCTGCCTGTGTCGGTTACCCACACTCCTGGGGCAGCCTCCGGGTTAGTCCCCTAAGCTGCTGTGGGCGGGGTCACCGTCAGGGTAACCCAGAGCCCTGCGGGGTGTGGCAGACATGCCGGGTGCACTCTCCTGCAAAAGTGGTGCCCCTGCTGGGCAGCTGTGTACCAGCAGTGTCCTTTGGGTCTGGCCCGGGTGTCTGTGCACCGGAAGGGGATTCTGGGTGGCTCCTGGGGGCACGGCTGCTCCTGGGCTGCTCCTCCGCTGCCACTGCTGGCTCCCGCGGGCCACTCCTGGGCCCCTCTGGCACTGCTGCTGCTGTTGTCCCCGCAGGCGTGCACAGGTGCCCCTCTTTTTTATGATGTCGCACCCTCTCCACATTTTTATCAGAGTACTTATACTTACCTCTGTCATCCATTTCAACAACTCCTTACTGGGTTCCCATGACACGCCAGGTATTTGGATGCCGCGGTAAACAGGAACAAGTGGTCCTCACGCCGTCGCACTCACAGGGGAGGATCTGTGCCTTTCAGCCCAGAATCTCCTGCACAGCACAGGGTCCAGCCCAGAGGAAACTCTCAAATTCACTATGCACTGGATGGGTTCACAACGGAATGACTGTCTCACCGTTTTTAAGCCCCAAAGCAAGCTGATCAGAGTGTGCCGAGGTCCTTGCTGGGTGTTTAGCTGGTGACGGACACGACACCTCATGTTGGATCAATGCGATGGTGGCACTCCGCCCTCAGCCTGTTCCCCCAGGGTGTGTGTAGGGCTTCCGGGTGGGGGAGAGCTGACCCTGGCACCACGGCTTTGGAAGACGGCCCTTTCTCAAAGAGAGGTCATGAGCTCCTGCTCTGATGTTCTTGCCCGAGTTTGGGCCAGTTTTAGCCTGGTTTGGTGATGACTGCCTGTCAGCCTGAGTCTGTTTTCTGTAAGACTGGGGGGTGGGACACAGGCCACAACTGAGCATGTTCTGCATCAGCTCGAATGGTGCAGTTGTCCCCACTGTCAGGCACTCACGGTCCACCCTCCCTGAGTAGCTTGTTATGTCTAAAGATACCATTTTATCAGCAGAATACACAAACCCAAATACAGCCAAAGCTTTTTCCATAACACATGTTTATATATTTCACATAAATATATATATGTTAATACAGCATACATGAACTAATTCTTCTTTTCAAATGTGCATCACACACACTGTATGTCTGGCAAGACATTTAATAAACTGAATTCATGTCGTTAAGCACCTGACATTGTGCCCATGCTTCAGAAAGCATCCCCACGAGTGTGTGAGGATCCCCCTGTTGTTCTGTGGGAGGACGAGGGGTCAGACCAAGTGAGCACCGGCCGACGCAAGGTGTGTCGCTCAGCCTGCCGTCCGGTCAGCGGGTCCTGGCGTCTGTGCAGACGGCCTCCGTGCTGACCCGTGGCCGTGCACGTGCGCCATGTCCTGTTGCTCTGGCCTTCCCGGGTAGTGACACGCATCTTCTCTCTCTCTGTAAACAGCGTATACGGTTGCCCCCTGGCCAAAAAGAGGAAGACGCAGGACAAGCAGCCCCAGGAGCCCGCCCCCAAGCGGAAGCCGCTGGCAGTGAAGGCGGACAGCTCCTCGGCGGAGGAGTGCTACGACAGCGACGGGTCCGAGGACCTGGACGAGGAGGACGAGGACTCCGAGGACGCGGAGGACGAGGAGGTGGACCGGGAGGAGGAGGAGGACGCGGACGAGGACGAGGACGACGACGAGGACGACGAGGACGACGAGGACGACGACGAGGAAAACGGTAATCTCGCAGCGCCGGCCGAGCGCGGTGGGGATTCGGCCCAGTTTTCCCCGTGAATTGCCTGGTGTCGATGTTCCAGACTCGTGACAGTTGCCACCTGAGTAGGTCTGCGGCTCGGTGCTGGAAAGAACAGCCATTTGTGGGTCTTTGGCTTTTGTTTCGAAAGAATTCCTCTCCGTTTTGTGTCAGGGGTCAGCCTTTATCTCGGTTGCCCTTCAAATCGAGGGCCCCACAGGTCGCAGTGTGCGCGTCGGATCAGCCTAGCGGCTCCCACGCAGAAGGTCCATCGGCACACCTGCCCTGCAGGCTCGCGCCTCGGACGCTCTGCCGGGGGATGCCACTGTTGGCCACGTAGTGCCATGGGGGGCTGAGCCCACGGGCCCCCCAGACACTGGGAGCTTGGTGCGGTTGCCGGCGCATCAGCTGGCGAGGCAGGTCTCGTCTGTCGGTTGCCAGAGCTTTTCCTTAGTGTCTGTCACGCCCAGAGTGAGGGGAGAACCTGCTGAAATGAGATGAATCGACCTGCCCCGCTGCCTGCTTCCCTACCTGAGACCGAGGTTTTGATCTGAGGCGTCCGGCGCTGTGAGCTAGACATCCACATAACACGCACGCCACACGGGGCAGGGGGCATGTTTGGGCAGTAAATACAAGGCGATTTTGCTTTTGTATTCAGTTTTCTGTTAGTGTCAGACACAGAAATATGATTTCAAAGCTAATCCTTTCATAATAGTCATTTCTTTTCCAGAAAGAAGTGGGTGTTTTCTGAGGAGTCGAGATAGTCTTTGTTGACTCAGAGTTTGTCTCAGGGAAATGCCAAAACATGTCCAAAAGTGAAGGGAATATTTTTCCCTTATGCTTTTCCTTTGAGCTCAATGCTCTTCAAAAATCTGAATTTCAGGAGAGCTAATTTCTCAATACAAAGGCAGTTGTTGGAGCCAGTGGAGAGAGGCTTTTTGTGCTTGAACCTTCCTGTGCCTGGTGACAAGAGTGCTGGGTCACCGCCTCAGTGTCTCTGTTTCATGTTCCTCCATGGCTGTTCTATCCCCGAGCCATCAGCAGATCCCCCGAGATAGGCTGTGCCTGTTCTCAGCAAACAGAGGCACAAATAGTGACCTGTAGTTAATGGGGATGCAGCGCAGTGTGAGAGGACACTCCAGACAGTGTGAGGGGCTGGCTCTCACACGCACACCTCCCGCGGCAGATGCCCATCTAACACGAAGAAGCTGGCCTGGCGTGGCAGCCGTGCAGTGCCGGCCTCAGGAGTAAACACGAGCTGGCAGTTGCTTCTGCTGGCTGCCAACGTTCCTTCACCTGTGAGGCATTTTCTGCTTTATTGTCGATCGAAATGTGGGGTCTACTGAAAGGTTTGTTTTAGGTAAAACAAATGTACACAAACCACTAAATTATTGCAATAGGAGCCCACAGACTACAGGAGGATCGTTACTCATAACTTGGGGATTCGGTCATGTTAATTTCAAGGCTCCCCAGCATTATACTTACCCATGAACCAAAGCATTGCTGATCACGTACATCTGTGGCGGGGACATTAGTGGGCAGTGCCGCGGTTGATCTTCACGGTGGTCGTGTTTGACAGGCAGGGTAGAAGCCCTCAGCACGCTCATTGCAGATTGACGCTCAGGTGACCCCCAGTGAGTGCTGGACTCTGGTGGACATGGTCAGCCTCTGCTGGTGGCTTACCTGACAGGCTTAGGTCCTTGTCACCATCTGCTTACTTGGACAATGGAGAAGAATATCTGAGTAATTTATTTCACATTAGATTCATGTGTTGTTAATCAATATTATATTTTATTCAGTTGGCCCATCATAGGTTGGTCTTTTGCATGAAGAATTTTATTTTCAAAGTACATTGTAATGGTCTAAATGCATTTATTAAGTAAAAGTTCCCTTGCTATCCTCAAGTTAAGCAAGTCATTATTCAGGGATCATAGACTTCTCTAATAGCATATTTCATACATGGCATGGCAATATTTTTTCAGATACTTGTTACTTTCGAAATATAGGTTAAATGGTTACCTAATGCCTAATAAGTTATGGTTTATCTTCACACTTCAGCCCGCTAAGAAGAATATATCTTTAATATGTATAAAAACATGTGCATATATACAATAAGTATAAATATGTGTATATTTATTTACATATAAATACATGCACACACATACACATATATATCTGTATGAGTACATTTTGTATCTCTGCACAAACAGGAAAGAAAATTCCATGAGGAAGATTATAGCAATTTGTTTTCCAGACTAGGGAAAAGTTTTGTTATGTTCACTTCCATCTTTAACATGTAACTGTTTCTTAACATATTCTGTTTCTGAAGTATGTTGATAAATATATAGTCTTTACCTGGCTACTCTTTATTGAATCTCAGGACTGTCTGGGACAATTCAACTTTGAGGGACGATTCACTTGACCACTAGGTTAAGGCAGATCAAATGCAAATCCTTTTCTAAAGCTTTCCTGGTTCCTTTGGCATTTTGTTCTGCATAGGAGTCAGCCAAAGATGTGTGGCGGCATTTATGGATGTTCACATCTAGGGAGGACTCGGGTGGTTTCAGGGAACAGGTGAGTAATCATGTTCAGAATGTACACCGCGATCGCTTTGGGCAGGCCAGCCGACCAGGACGAGTGCGGGCGGGGCGGCAGGCAGCGGGGAGCATGCGCCGCAGATGTGCTCTCACGGGCTCAGGCGGCTCTGCTGGAATCCTCGCAGCGCCGCTGGTCGGCGCTGCCCGTCCCGGTTCCAGACTGTTCTTTCTGCCTCCACCGTGAGCCCGTCCTGTCCTCAAGTGGAGCTTCTAACAGGCGCTTCCTCTGCAGTAACTCAACTTGCTTTGGACGGAATTCACGACAAAGCCCACCCTGTATAAATCTCTCCTGGCAGAAGCAAGTGTTTATTGCAGAGTTTCCAGGGAGCCCTTTCTTTCACATAGGTGGTGCCCAGGACCCTTTATTACAGCATTGTGACAACGTGCAAGTGGGCTTGGGTTTTGACAGGACAAGGCGGCACGAAGGTTTCTGCACGTGGTGCCTTTGGCGCAGTTCTCATCTTGATCAGCCAGTTATCCTCTCGCAGCACTGTCAGGGAAATGTCCCTGATGAGAGAAGCGAGCTGAAATGCAGACAGACTGACTGTCAGAATCAGCCAGCCGGCTCCCCACACTCAGCGGAAACGGCGATGCACTCTGAGACCAGCATAGACACAGAGATGGCATGTGTACTGTGCGAAGTTTCAACTGGAGAGTGGCTGTGGGCACAGTTGGGAGAAAGCATGTGGCGATTTTCTTATCATCCTAAAAATTATTATTTCCCAATATCCGTGAAAGTGTTTTAGGGGTTTCAGCTTGTGGAGATGGTGAAATGTATGGCTCTATCACTCAGAAATGAGTAAATACAGAATTAGACATTTCTAATGGGATAGAACTTCAACTTTCTTCATGCAAACTAATTTTGCATAATTATAAAATATAACTATATTTCATGAATTTTCAGACACTTCAAACAAACCGGAAAGCTTGCCAAGAATGTGATGTCATGGACATTTAAGATACAAGCAATACATATCAAGAACTGGGAGAATCTTTTTTGCATAACAATGAAAATAAAGGATGTTAAAAGGATAGATCTAATATGTTTTTATTCAATTCCACTTGAAGAAATTACCCGCTCATTTGCTTTTTCTTTTAATTTAATTTCTATTCCAAATGCTGGTTTATCAGTGTGTACAAGGAAGCCCAGGGGCAGCATGGATTCCTGGCTCCAGCTGAACAGCTGACCCTGGGCACGCTACTCACTCTCACCGGAACTCAGCATGACAGCAAGGATGAGGGTGACAGCCCTGGCCCCTCATCCACCTCACTGACTCGTTTCAAAGCCTAAAGAAGTCACAGCATAAGAGAAATGCTTGAGAGAGGTGAGCAGTTCCGGACTCTGATGCAACAGTTGTGATCAGGGGCGACTTTTGCCCGGCACCACTCCACAACCCCATGCGTCTGCTCGAGCTCTCCCGTCATTCTGGACCCATGGTCCATGGCTGTGCGCAGCAGATGTGTCAGGCACATTAAGCCTGCATTAACTTAAAGGACTCAGGGCCCAGGGGTAGCTCATATCAAAAACTGGTATGGATTTTTCCATGTACCCAGAAGTGCACTGGATTCCATGAGGCATGAAAATTAAGTACCATCACCCTTTACCCCAAAAATATGCATAAAACGGTATGAAAGAGGAATGTGTGCATGGAAAAATATAAATTATGGTTCTTTACAAAGGGCAGAATTAGAACTCTTAAGCTGAGATGGAGGCTTTAAAGATTTGAGATGAAAACAAGAAAAAGTTTGCAGAAAAACAAAGATGGTTGAACAGGTTACCAAGGAAGTTGTAGCATCGTTTTGGCCTTAGAAGCGGACCAGGTTCTTTTCTGTCTGGCAGGGATTAAATACAGTTCATTAGAAAGGGCCAGCAGGACCCTAATGCCCTCTCATTCTCTCCCAATCACACATAATTTTTGGAGCAGCCACGTTTGCTTCGAAGGCGTTCTGTGGACAGGACGTCTGGGGTCTGCACAGACTCTCCCAACACTGACTCCCAGCATCATCTTGCTCTGCCGGGCTGGGAAAGATCAAGGCAGCACCGTTATTTAGGAAGCACTTCCATGCGTGAGTGTGTGGGAGAGAGAGCAGGAGGGAGGGAAGTGGGCAGGTTAGTGGGTCTCTTTCTATCTCCATCTGACACCACGGACTTCAGGTAGCTGCTCTCCAGGTGCAGGTGGAGGTGGGGGAATATGACTGTCTTGTTTTTCTAAGTCCCCAAATTTAGATAAGCTGATACCTAAGTCATCAAGTACAAAGGTCTTCAAAACTTGATGAAAAATGGCATTTTATTCATTCATATCCCATTCATTTAGATCCTATTGAATAAATACCTTAAGATAAGAAAGGACCATAACTCATGATTCCTACATTATGTGTATGCAGCTT